TTCGGATATTTTTGAGAATTTTTGGACTTATGAGGCATTTCTTAGGACACTTAAAAATATTTTCCTGATCTTTGAGAACCTACGTAACTTTTTCGAAATATTAGAACTTTTCGGAGCTTCAAAGTTTTCAGAAATTTTCGGGTTTTTCTTCGACAATTTTTGGGCTTATTAGTTATTTCTTAGAAAAAAATTTTCGAATTCTTCGGCAATTAATTTCGAAGTTTTTCGCGACCCTTCGAAGATTATAAGGGACCTTGAAGGATTTTTCTACACCGTTTAAGGATTTTTCTGGCAGCTTTCGGTATCTTATTTTAATTTTGGGGTTTTTAAAGACCTTTTGGAAAGTTTTAATAACATAATGGTATTATTTCTCGGGATATTTTGGGACCCTCATTATTTATTTGGACTGTTTTTAAGACTTTCCGAAGTTTCTTGGTTTCCTCAGAGCCTCTGGGGAACTTGTTTGGAATTTTCTTGACTTTTCCGTGTTTTCGAAATCCTTCAATACTTTTTCGCAGCTAGTATGTAGTTTTTCGCCATTTTCAGGATATTCGTTTTTTCCGGACATTTTGGGAATTTTTAAGTCCAAAGAAACTTTTATTGCAATTGGACTGCAATTGAAGAACCCAATAGAGTTTATGAAAAGTAAATAAGTATTAAAGAATTGGAAATTACACTCATGTTTGCTGAACCAGTAACCGTGAGTCTCTAACGATTCTCGGCAGGCATTTTGGACTTATATTCGCCAGTTCATATTGTCAGCAGGCAGAGTGCAATAATTTTCCACCAACTTCTCCCTGATTGGATTTAAAAAAGTTTTGTTTGATTGTTTTGTATCTTCTTGTAAAACGCACAAGCTCTACTTGGCCAAATAATTTAGGGACCATAACAATTGAACCACTTTGATGCGTCACTAAGCGCCCCGTATATTAAGAGGCAGCTTTCTTCTATACGTTATGGCGGCATCACCAGCATAGGCGAGGGCTTCGATGGCCTTCCATTCCGCGTCCGCAAAAAAAGAGTTCACCAGTAGCAGCAAGTGGGTTGTGTCTCTTGTCGCATACCTAGAAATGTGATTCTCTTCTAAGCTCCTTTTCTCCACTTTACTTTGCCTGTAAGCACTTGCCGTATAAATCAATGCCGAGAATGGCGACAGAAAAATGGTCTTCGACTCTGAGGGACTAGTCGAGTTTAAATTTTACTTTGACTTAAAAATCATTGCAGTAAATCGCATTCGTTTAGCTACTAACTCCGCTCTCTTTTAAACGTATATACGACCTTTTCTGTGCGCATCCACTTTGATTCAAAAATCAATTCATCGTCCTTTTTAATAAACATCCACTTTAGCCAACATCACTTTCACTTTGAGCTATCGATTTCCAATTATTTATAGCAGTCAACTAATCTAAGGAGCATTCAATTACTTAGTGAACAAATATCCGGTCGTATTATTTGTTTTTTTGCTTGTTTGCGATCAGCTTTTCAATTTGCAGCAACGCCTTTTGCATGCTTTCTAATAAATACTAGCATATTTGTGTTGGTTGATTGCGTCGGTCGAAATGTTGAGCCTTAGAGCATCAGACTGTGGATTGCTCGTGCCGCTCGCTTACTCGAACAATTTAAACTTCACACAGTAAATCGCCTGAGAAATAATTTCTTTCCCCTACTTCGCATTCACAATTGTGCTACCAACGATTGAGGGCTGATTGATTGATATATTTTGTAAACTGCCATTTGCACAAATATACACACGTACAGCGAATGAGGTAAAACTATTAAAACTACATATGAGCGTTTCTTTTACGACGAATGTTCATCACTGACTCCGTATTTGCTTGAATGTCCTTTATTTTGAGTTTTGATTGGACGTCAACTCTGTGTCAGGGGGGGGGGAACGAATGCTGTCGATATGCACACATATCTATGTATGTATGTATGGTACGAGTATGTTGGTTGGAAGAATGCGAAAATTGCCGCACTAATAGCAATTTGATGTAGGGAATGAAGCGCAACGGAAATGCACACACTTACAGTTCAATACATACACATGCCAATGCACACAATTCTGCAAACAATTGCGGCACAAATTAATAAATCGCAATCGGTGTGGGAGATTTGAGAGGTGCAGCAGGGTAGCTTTAAGCAACTGCCAGTGACAGGCTCCCTTAAGCCGCATAGGCAACGCGTTCAGTGCCGCCGGTCAACGAGGCGAAAAGGCGAGAATGCATCGGAAACAATTAATCACTGAGCCACTTTCGTATGCGGTGACAGCGTACAGTGGATGGGTTTCTTCAGCTAGCTGCCTAAAATAAACTTTAACACAAGCATAGGTTTTGGGATGGAATACAATGAGTGAAGCCGTTTTCAAAAGTTTCCTACTAAAATTGATAGATTTTTTTGCTCTTCGTAGGGTGGTGGGTTTTAGTCATAGCTAAAAATTAATTAAAAGAGTAGTTTAAACCTAGACTCTTTCTATAAAATACTCTGAGCGTTTAGAAGGGCAGATAATTTAAGCCGTGGACGGGACTCAAGTAAGTGAGGTAATAAATACGCGAAGGTCAAGGCAAAAGTCGTCATCTGTAGCCTTTGCTCCTTATAAGTAAAGATATTTCCAGCTTGAGTTAGCACTGCAACAGAAGATTTTCTTCTAATATTGGCGGACAAACCTTTGGCAGAGCAAAGCTGTGTGGCTCAAATTTCACCAGGCCTTGGAAAGTGGTCAGCATGACGAAAATAGTGAAGGCCAGAAAAAACTCTCACAACTCTCGAAGAGATTTCAGCGTACTCAGTATCTCTCTGTTTCGCCAGGAGCTCAGCGAATATTAAGGGTAGGTCGATAGAGACCGCGCTGCAGTCAATCATGAAGTCAAATGGTGCCCTTCTCGCCATCGAAAGCCTATTCATAATATCCTTCCAGCGGAGTCCTCAGATTGATTGGTAATATTTGGGATCGAAACCGACCGACACCATGTTAGCCTCATATACTGGAGGTTACGATGGAAATGCAGTGATGAAGCTTGGGGAAGACGACTTTGCCTTCAAAGGGAGTCCTTGGCCAGGCGATTTTCAATAGAACAAGTTACTGGGCTTGATTCTGCAAAGATTTAATCCATTAGCGATTACACTAGTAAAAATGCTGGAGCAGGTATAACGCGCCGCACCCTCATTGAAATAAGTGCGACCGGAAGCACTCCCATTCTAACGTTTAACGTCAATGCTAAACAAAACACCCGTCGTCATAGTACCAAAGACTGGTGCTGCAAGGAGCACTGGGTGCTTAACTCACCCAGGATTTGAAGTTTTTAGTAGCCTTCGACTTTATCTGTGACAACACAGTTCATTGCTACTGGCTAGACAGGAACCAAAAAGCTTGTGGCAACGCCAAAGGCGCTTTTTTATAGCAAGCTAAAATGCAACCTTGCGCCTATGGTTTTCCGTTTTTTCTCTCTCTTCTGCCGACTGTGGATCCGGACGGACTGGTGTGCAAAAATCTCAGCGTAAAAAAGGACTTTAATTAAATCATAGATTGTAGACATTTATTTGTAATTTAAACGTTAATATATCTTTTTAATAAATATCGTTAATACAATACAAAAACACCCTACAAACTGGTGACCTCGACAACAGAACAACATTCGCAATAGAAGTACATGGTAGGGAAGCACAAAACCGCAATTAGACAAAAAACGTGCTCCCTGCGCTGGTACTGGAACTAAATCAGGTTACATCCACCAATCTGCGCTTGCAAGTGAGTAGGTTGGGACACCACAGCCTCGCAACGTGTCACACGACCCATCAGCAAATCTATCTTTGTGCTAGCAATTAAACGCCCTTACAACGCAACCGGCCACCACTGCCGAGACACGGCACTACTCGTGTCGACTGCATCACCTATTTACAACTACGACGTCGCATTATCCAAACAGCCTACTAATCGCGGTCTTCGTACACATTACAAACCATATTCCATTTCCGTTTTCGTGAAATGCCAAATACCCAAGAAAACCTGGACGGTGCCGTCCCCGACAATAAGGATACATCAACCACATCAGGTAGCCAAACCACTGACAACGCAGACGTTAACAGCTTTGCCGCTCGCGTACAAATCCCACAACTCAACGCATTTTCGCTACAAGGAATCGAGTCATGGTTCACCCGACTAGAAGCATTTTTTCGAATAAACAACTTCGGGAAATTGAACCAGGAACAACGAGACAGTACAAAGTTTAACATAGCTGTGATGTACATGGATGAACGGTTGCACGAGCAAGCATACGACATAGTACGAAACCCACCAAACAAGGATAAGTACGAAACATTACGCCAAACAATTTTAAATAAATTTTCAGTATCGCCAATCGCGCGCCTCGAGCAGCTAACATCGGGTATCCAGCTAGGTGACAGCAAACCAAGTCACATGCTCACGCAACTACAACGCACAGGCGTGACTACCGATAAACAATTAATTAAAGACTTTTGGTTACAGAAACTTCCTGTATCCGCAAGGGCAGTGATAACTGGTATCGACAAAGGGAACACCGACATGACTTTGGAGCAGCTGGCATCAATCGCCGACGAAATAATAGATGTTGTACGAGCCAATTCGACAAACGCCGTTACAGTTCGTAGCCAACAAGAGCAAACTACCCCAACAACCAAATTAAATGGCAATTCCTCAATGGAAACTAGAATATCACGCATCGAGCGAGCGCTGTCCAGAATCGAATTGAGCAATAGGCGACGCCGGAGCAGCAGGCCTCGCTCACATAGCCGTAGTGGTGAGACAGGTCACTCATCAGAAGGTATGCAGCAAAAAAATTGTTGGTACCACAGACGTTTCGGAGATAAAGCACAAAAATGCGAAACACCATGCAATTTCAAAACAGCAAAAAACTGAGTAAGTCAACAGCGCCCGCAGCTACGTTCGTTGATACATCCTCCAACCCACGCTGCAACAGCCAATATAGCACAATGTTGAACAATAGACTTTTCATTCACGACCGCAAATCAAATAAACGATTTCTCATCGATACAGGGGCCGATATATCGATTGTTAGCACACCCAACACAAGTCATACATCTCCAAATAAGGCAACACCTACATTGTTTGCAGCGAACAACACCCAAATAAAAACGTTTGGAACTACACGATTAATTCTCGATTTGGGACTAAGAAGGCCTTTTGAATGGGATTTCGTCGCAGCTGACACCAGGTACAATATACTTGGGGCCGATTTTTTAAGCAAATTTAACCTCGTAGTAGACATGCGCAACTCCACAATCATAGACGCCCAAACACAGTTAAAAAGTCGAGCCGTAGAAGCAGTTAACGTGCAACAATACGCAATCACAACCTACGATATTAATAGCAAGTACGCCGAATTAATACGCGAATTCAAAGACATCACTCAAATTAATAACACATTTGAAGGCAGCATAAGCAACAACGTTCAGCACTTCATCGAAACGGAAGGTCCACCTACATTTTCAAAACCAAGGATGTTAACACCAGAGAAGTACCAAGCCATCAGAGATGAGTTTCAATACCTAATGAAATTGGGCGTCTGCAGGCCATCAAAGAGCCCTTACGCCTCACCTCTACACGTGGTACGCAAACCCGATAACACCTGGCGCCCTTGCGGAGATTACAGGGCCCTGAACGCGCAAACTCTACCCGATCGTTACCCTCTACCACATATCCAGGATTTTACTTGCCACCTACACGGCAAGTCAATATTTTCAAAAATCGATTTATATCGGGGGTATTATCAAATACCGGTCGCTAAAGCAGACGTGCCTAAGACAGCCGTCACTACGCCGTTCGGACTTTATGAATTCCTGCGCATGCCCTTTGGCCTCCGAAACGCAGCACAGACCTTTCAAAGGTACATGCACGAAGCACTCCGCGGTCTAGATTTTTGTTTTTGCTATGTCGACGACATTCTCGTCGCGTCAGTTTCGGAACAAGAACATTCAAAACACTTGCGTTTAATTTTTGATCGACTCCGACAACATCGTCTTACCATAAATGCATCGAAGTGCGTCTTCGGTGCAAAGCAAATTGAGTTTTTGGGTCACTTCGTTACATCCAAAGGTATTGGCCCAACACCAGCAAAAGTGGAGGCCGTACTCAATTTCCCTTTACCAAAGTACGCGTATGAACTGAAACGATTTTTAGCCATGCTAAATTTTTACAGACGTTTCATTCCACGCGCTATAGAGCACCAACAACATCTCAACGCACTGATAGTAGGCAACAAGAAAAACGACAAAGCACTAATAAAATGGAGCAAAGATACCACTTACCATTTTCAAAAATGCAAAGAAGATTTAGCAAATGCTTCGCTCCTAGCACACCCAATCCCATCAGCAAACATTATTTTATGCACGGACGCAAGTGACAGCGCAATGGGGGCAGTAATTCACCAAATCGTCGAAAACGAACCTCAACCGCTAGCATTTTTTTCAAAAAAATTTTCAGTTGCCCAAACAAAATATAGCACTTACGATCGAGAGTTACTTGCGATATATAGTGCCATTAAACATTTCAGGCATCTCCTAGAAGGAAGAGATTTCACCATAGCAACCGATCATAAACCGCTCACTTTCGCGCTCAAACAGAAGAAGGAGAGTTTATCTCCACGACAAATTCGCCACCTCGACCTAATTGGACAATTCACCACAAAAATAATATATATTGCAGGAGAGAAAAATATCACCGCAGACACACTCTCAAGAATAAACGCTCTCAACATTGCCACTCGAGATGTCATCAAATACGAGGACATAGCCAAACAGCAATCTTCGTGTGAAGAACTGAAACAACTTTTGAACTCAAACAACACCTCACTCCAGTTCAAACTCATCAAAATACCTACAATTGATACACCTATCATGTGTGACGTATCCGGTGGCGTAGCACGTCCATATGTACCACCAGAGCAGCGACAAGCAGCCATTGCAAAATTCCATAATTTAGCTCACCCTGGTAGAAAAGCCACAGCGCGATTGGTTAAACAACACTTTGTATGGGAAAACATGGACACAGAGATCGGTAAATTTGTTTCACATTGCATACAATGTCAACGTTCAAAAGTGAATAGACATGTAGTCTCACCTCTCGAAAGATACAGCCTACCATCACAAAGGTTCGACCACATAAATATAGACTTAATCGGCCCCCTACCTCCATCGAATGGTTTTAGGTATTGCTTAACTATAATAGATCGTTTNAAACGCTGATACAGTCGCCTTGGCATTGTTGAACGGGTGGATAAAACATTTTGGGGTACCGCTCAGAATATCTACAGACCAAGGCCGGCAATTCGAATCGACACTTTTTCGAGAATTATCCCGCGTGCTTGGTATTCAACACTTGCGAACGACTGCGTATCACCCTCAAGGAAATGGGATGATAGAGAGGTTCCATAGAACATTGAAGACGGCCATTATGTGCAGTGATTCTTCAAATTGGTCATGCCAACTACCGATAATCTTGTTGGGCCTCCGGTCAGTATACAAAGAGGACATCAAGGCGACCCCTGCTCAACTAGTTTATGGCACATCACTCAGACTTCCAGGGGACATGTGTGAGCCACGCACACAAGCAGTACAATCTGAATTCGTCCAGCAGTNACAGTACAATCTGAATTCGTCCAGCAGCTGATTAAAAACATGCACGAGCTACAACCCACAGACACATCCCACAAGGCGAAACGGAAGCTTTTCATGGCACCTGGACTGGCAACAGCTACGCACGTTTTCGTCCGTAAAGACGCTGTGAAACCGGCACTAACACCACCGTATGATGGCCCATATGAAGTTGAGAAACGCACTGCTAAAACATATGTAATCAGGATAAACGACAAATCGGTTACGATTTCCATCGACCGCATCAAACCTGCATTCATAGATAACCCATCTGAAGAGACATCCGTTCCAGTTCCAACAGCCGAGGCGAATTATCCTCAAAAAAGTCAACCTACCAATTCGACAACAACGCCGCAAGACACCCCTGAACAGAGGACAAGGGTTGGGCGAACGGTCAGACTTCCATCTCGCTACGCTCTGTAGAAGTCTGGGGGGAGTATTGTGGCAACGCCAAAGGCGCTTTTTTATAGCAAGCTAAAATGCAACCTTGCGCCTATGGTTTTCCGTTTTTTCTCTCTCTTCTGCCGACTGTGGATCCGGACGGACTGGTGTGCAAAAATCTCAGCGTAAAAAAGGACTTTAATTAAATCATAGATTGTAGACATTTATTTGTAATTTAAACGTTAATATATCTTTTTAATAAATATCGTTAATACAATACAAAAACACCCTACAAGCTCTTTCTCCATTCACATCCCCATTAGGGTTTAGTAGACGAAAATTCAGAGTGAGAAGCAGGCACCGGTGAACTTCTAGACGGATGGCTGGAAGCTTTACGGAGGGATTGGATATCAAAAACCTCTATATCAACCTAAAACTTAGGCGGCCAGATAAATTAAGTGTTTTTTCAGGCAGAAGTAGAGATCCCAGACATTTTAAGAGATCTCCAGTGGTTAGCGATTGTATGGCCTAGGTGCCTCTCTCGTCTCCTTACAACCGCATCGCACTTGCGAAGCAATTATAAATGAATATCCTCGATCGATTCACAGAAAGGGCATATGGATGCCGTTGGACCCGAACAATAACTTGTACAAGTGTCCTTTTAGTGTACTGTGCCCCGTCAGAAAACATTTGATTACCTCTCTCTGGAGAGGTTTGTGATTGCCTATACCTTGTTAGGTTGTAGCCTTCCCGTAAGCATTTAGCCTATCTTAGACTTACAGGGAACAATACTGGCGGTTCCATGAGTCTCTACCTCTCCGTCCAGAGCTCTTCCTTAATTGTGCTATTCCGGATCGCACGAAGAGGTCTCAGGATCTATTTCCTCGTTACCCTCAACTCCTATATGACCTCGTACCCAAATTCGCTGGATATCATTTTGCTCCTCCACTGCACTCAAGCACCAAGGATGACTTTACCTCAAATAATGAGCGGACCTTGAGTGCAGGCTGGCTATAACTCAATATGTATTAGAATTTTCTCACGTTCATTCTACGTAGATTGATTTCTGTACATAGGATAATGTCATAGTTCTCCGCCTAAAAGATACTCGGATATGCTCCCATGGGCACCGGTAGTTTCAGCCTTAGTCCGTAGATGCCGGCCCCAATGCCGTGAGGAGTTTTGGAGCCATCTGTGTACCATTGTACGGAGATAGTTTGTATATTTATGTGGTTCTGAAAATGGGGTGCTATAGGTTGCCTTGCTGCAAAGTTCTACCTTGAATTTCCTCTCAAAGCCTATTGAGTTAGGCTTATCATCCCACTGGGGAACAGGAGCCAAAGGAATCTGGTAGTCTAGCTTGTCTCTGTTAGGTTTTACCTCTGCCAAAGTCTTCTCTTGAGAAGTTTAGTAGAGTTCCCTTTGCTACCAGCTTTATGCTGAGATGAAGCGGCTCGAGCACGAGAATCACCTCCAGCATTGCCCCCGTGATGCACACATGGTACACATTGAAGCTTGATAAGGGATTGCCTTATCGTGGCTAGGGTCTTGGACAGTTAGGCCTCAAGTCAGCTCAGCGAACCCTGGACGAAAAACTGGGATCAAAAGTATGTATTTTCCTAACTCTACTAACTGAGTGGATAGATTTTAGTATAATCAGCCCACGATAACCACACACTGTGCAAAATTCTGTTCATTTGTTTATGTGGACGCCTAAAGTAGCCAGCCGCAGTGAATTGAATCGAACACCTTGTCGTTCGCATTCAACTCGTGTGCATTTCCAGTGCGAGCATGCTCTTATCTGCGGAAACGTGTGTGAGTATCTGTGCGAATCTATCTTTGTGTCGACCTCCAAGCTGACGACGA